TTGATGTTTACTAGTGGCTTGTTTTTGGAGTTTTTGAAGCGCCCACAACTCACGTTCTTGATTCTCCGGTCTAAGATTTTGTTATTTGAGGGTATCAAGGATTTGAAGGTTAATGGGCATTAATTGCACGTAAAAAGTTGGGTTATTTTGATGTGGTGAGGTTGGGGTTACATATGCTCTTTTTTGGTTTGCAAGGTGGTTTTGGAATCTGCTTTGGGATTCAAATATCTTGCTCCTGGTATTAACTATGCTTTTATCTTTTGATGTGGAAAGAGAAATTTATGGTTTTGCACAAAGGACGCCAATGATAAATCCAAGAGATAAAATAGAGAGATGGTCTTTGTCACCAGATACTTTGGTCTTTGTCAATCCAAGAGAATTACACACAGTTGAGCTTGGTCTTGTTGGAATCTAGAACTAGCTTATAGAGAGATGGTCTTTGTCACCAGATACTCTTGTAAAATGATTGTGCTGGTACTGGAGAGCTTTGTCTGGCTAGGACATATGAGGGGAGGTATTTGCAAAACACTCTAATGCTTAAGACAATATTTGATCAATAAGCTAAAGTTATAATGGAGAAGATGATCATACACAGACTTTGAGCTTTCTTTATATAGTGGTGGCATGATCTTCTTATGCAATCATAGTATGGCGCTATTAATCTCATTGGTTAACATAAGTGACTTCTGTAGCCTATCTCATGTGCTGAACATCTATTTATTGGCTATGCCCTATAGGTTTAGCTAGAATCACGTGTCTATCGTTCAACCATTGGCTGATGAGGATGCTTAAAAACTATGAGTTGTTAGTTGTATGTCTACAAGATGATGTATATGCAGGATGGACGAATTTCCTTATGATATGAATAAAGAGACAACACCTAGTGATCCATTACAATTGCCAAATGGGCCAATCACAAGATCAAGGGTCAAGAAGTTTAAAGAAGCTCTTAGTGGGTTGATCCAGCAAATGTGGGCTAATCATGAAGACATCAAGCCCAAATTTATTCATAATCAGAATTTAGTCAATGTCATCAATGTAAGGGAGGTTGAGTGGAATGAGTAGCAATAATGCTTAGTGGGGCTGAAAGCATTTTCAATGTTATTAATGCTTAGTGGGGTTGATTCACATTTCCAACGTCATTAATGTTTAGTGGGCTGAAAGCATTTTCAATGTTATTAATGCTTAGTGGGGTTGATTCACATTTCCAACGTCATTAATGATTAGTGGGCTGATTAGAGTCTTTTCCTTTTCCAAGTTGTCAACTTTAAATTATTGTCTTTTCATTTGCTAAGTCTTTTCCTATTCTTGGAGGGATGTTCCAAGTATAAATAAGGGAGGATATAACTCTTGTAATCAGATTTTGAAGTTATAATATAATAGAGAGGTTTCTTCTCTTTGGTTCTTATCTAGAACTCTGAAATTATCAAGAAGTTTGTTCTTGTGGCGTTCAAACCAGATTTATCACTCATCTTCTTCTTTCTTGAGTGTGGCGTCTTTATTCTTCTTATACCTTTGGTTCTTATCTTCCATAGATAACGGGTCAAGGTTCTTTATTTCTTATTTTAAATTCCTGATTGTAGAAACGATCCTAACTAAATTGGTCTTCGGTCTCACTATTCTTGGTGAGGTTCATATCACCTTACTCTTTAAGTTTTTATTATTGGATCTCTTGGGCCATAAATGGTGAGGACCTTTTGTCCCACTTAGTATGAGTCCATATTAGATTTTAGTGTAAGTCAAACTATGATTATTATATAAGAATAAACATTGAACCAATATAAATTGATTATTTCAATTTGGTCAACTGATTATGATATGGTCAAGTATCTGTTTGGAAAGTCTTACTTTTAGCTTCTCTTCTCCTTAAAAGTAGAAGTGTTACCAAACATAATTTTACAAAAACTCTTATGATAAAGAGCTTTGTTTATAATGAAGAAAAAAAAGGTCTTAAAAAAAGGTCTTATAGTGTATGCAAGCATTTTTGAATTCTTATATTTATTTTTCAATTTTATCCTCATTCTAAAATTGTATTTATAAATTAATCTTTTATCCCAATAATTGACTCTAATGACAAATCATTTTATCTCCCTACTTCAAAATCCTAAGAACAATTTTATATAAGAGTAAATACTCTTGTGGGTCCTCAACAAAAAATATGGAACCCATTTCAATTCCTTAGAAAAAAAATACTCATATTAGTTCTTTTTGAAAGACTAACATGTATTTTCTTTGAATTTCAGAAGAATCACAATTTCAAAGAACTGTAATTTCAAAGGAACCACAAATCAACTTTTTTTTCTTACGAATTAAGATAGATTCTATTTTTTTTTTTTTTTTTTTGAGGACCCAAAAGGATATTTTTACTCTTTATATAATCACCAAATAATTTTCAACTTTATTTTTAAAGTTTTTTTTCAACTTTAACTTAAAAGTAATTTTGGTTTAAAAAAATATGTCAGACACACTACGTGCATACAATTACTTACGCTCTTTTACAAGGGCATCAGATGAGAGTAGAAGCAAATACATCAAAATCACTTGGTTTCAAAATATTAGCCTATTTGCATTCCAAACGGTAAACCTCTTTTGTTCTGAAAATTACTTCATTGGAATCATTGCCTGAAGCGTAAGAGAATTGCAATTATTCTTGAGACCACGAGACCAACCTGGACATATCATATATTTCACATCGTCAGATCCAAATCGAACTTCATCTCTATGAGGAATAACTATAATAATTAGACATCATTTGTAAAATGCTGTTTCTTGAAAATCCAAAATCAAAATCTTTTTAAGTGGGGGTCCCAGTTAGATCTCTTGGGATGATTATGACGGTTTCAACTGTGCCTAAAATTTTCACTAGCCACTAACAAAGTTTAGACATGAAATTAAAATAAAAGGGTTGCGCCCAAAAAAAATTAAAATAAAATAACGAAGGGCATTTTACGTAATGTGAAAGGGTTCTCAGCAGATGCCTTATCCTTATGTGGGTCTGTGATTGAATTGACCTTTTGAACGTTCTTCTTGAGCAGTGCTGATTGAAACTTTTTTCTCTGTGGGGACCAATAGGACTAGGACTACCCTTAAACCACTGTCGGTGCATGAAATTTATATTAACTCATTTATTATTCTATTTCTGATTTTGGCCTCAATTACCATTGGATTTCAACTCTGAAACAGCCACACAGGCTTCTAAAATTTTGCCAAAAAAGTATTATGACTCACTTTTCTCTACGTACCCGTACGATTTCCACCAGACAAAGTTCACTGATGTTTCCATCCCCATGTTTATTGTCTAGAACGTATTTTTGGACTTTTTGGAGCGTCAAAATCAATCTTTAGTAACGATATTGAGACACTAATGAGAGCTGGCTCCTTTAACTCAAATGCCAATGTCATGACACTCCTTCGAAGTTAGACATCATTTTGTGGCAATCTTGGAGCAACAATCAAGAAAACGATGGGCCAAAATGCTTAATTCAAGTAACTGCTTTGAAGTGACAGCTTCAAGAAAGGCTTCTACACACCAGAACCAATGTTCTTGGTCCCAAATCATAGTAATGGTGCTACATAAAATAAAATTTCAGTCACCACGACAGGTCGTTTGAATGCATGTCTGTCACATGATTTATATTGCAAGTCATACATCACCCTGTACACGACTTGAACATCCACATCCCTCATACACGTCTTGCAGCACGCGTCATGTGGTAAATGCATCTTTGTCCATACACAAGTCGTGCACTTCCCCTGTACGTTACTTAAACGCAAACACCCCGTACATGTCTCATTGATAAAATATTTGAATTTGGAATCAATGAAGTTCAAAAGTTCCTATTTTTACATCACCAACTTTATTAAACAAGTAAAACTTAAGTTGGATTATCTAAAAACCATATGTATGTACAAGACTACTATTTGTATAAAAAATTGTAAGTGTAATGATATGTAAGTAGTAGTTGGCATTTTCCAATGAAGAAGTGCTTTATTGGAAAGTGAATGGACTAGTCCCCTAACTTAAACACCATATTGTCCCCTAACCCAAGAATTCTCACATGCCATATGGGTCCTTTCTCACATGCACAAGTTTTGCAGTCTTTATTACAATCTTACCATTTAGCACTCATCAGAGCCTCTGTTTAGCACTGTCCCTAGCTCTCTCCGCAGGCATTTACTAAGTGCCTCCATCGAATTGTGAAGGGGCAGTACATGCTTTACTCGAGCTAATGTATATATAGATGAAAGACAATGACATTTATACAATGCAACTGGATAGGTCTTTGAATTTGCTTGTTCTGCTGAGCATTCAGAAAACACCCCTTTACTGTTTGTAGTAAAAGTTAATGTTTTAAGTCAAAAGTAATTACTGGTTGACCAGTAATACTCATATCTCTTGTTGCACAGTGACTTTTGTGGAGGGTGCCTTAAGCCAATTAATACTACTTTCTTGGAGACCTGTAGACTTTAATTGTTACACAAGCATGCCCTTTAGAGGACACGCTTTTGTGAATTGCAGTTTTGAAAAGTTTGGATACAAAGTTACTGCAAAACGATACTTGAAATCATCACATGTCTTGTCCATAATTTTGAACCATGATAGAGTAAAAGCCGAGGAAATCTCAAATTAATCGCTAGATAACATTACATCATTTTTTTTAGGGGGGGCGGGGACAATGTAGGTAAGAAGGGTCATCATTATGTTAATTAGAAATATAATGACGGAGTATCATGTGCTGCACATGAACGAATCACACATGTTGGTAGAGAAACGCACACTGGCAGATATGTTTAATGATATACAACCATAATTGCATAACAAAAGATTAAAAGCAAAGATTACATCCATTGACAAAGAAAAAGGCAGAAAGGTGAGAAAGTTAAAAAGGAATACCACTGCTATTGATAAAGTGTTTCCATAACTCAACTTTGACAATCATGCTTTTGCTTGTATAATTAACTCAACAAAACAAAGAGTAAAAAAATATAGCAAAAGTGAAGTAAGAGAAAATTTATAATATATATCTCAGCTCATTCAAATCCTATAAAACTGAAAAAGACTGAACAGTGTGTAAGGAGACATGATTTGACATTGGGAAAAATATGCATGTGAATTGGTGGGTAAGGTTGGTGAAATGAGCTGGGAAGGACCAAAGAAGAGAAAGGAAAACAACGGACCACGCTTCTGCACCTGCTCCTACAATGGTATTGTTTTGTTTCAGCTGGAGCAAGTCGAGCAGCTGAGGTTGACCAACAATAACACAATGTGGCTGGGAAAATGGGTAACATATAACATATTGACATGTGTAATTAATGTACACTTGTCAAGAATGCATGATGGTGATGTGTGAGGAAACCAATTATGATATTTAGATGCTACTATAATATGGTAAAACTGAAAATCAAACACAAAAAGAAAAAAAATGGCTCTTTCATTGATATGCTATGCTAGCACTGACGGCCTCTGCGGCAACCAAGTGCACCAGCATTAGAAGTCATGGAACCAACCATGGAAGAAGATTTAGCTCCTAAGCTAGAGGCTCTGGCATAGCTTGCTGAAGCTCCAGCACCTGATGGGGTGAAGTAAGCACCATTCACCAATAAATCTCCCTCTGATCTCCAATTCCAACCCTTCCACTCGGTTTCAGCTGTTTCCACTCTCTTAGTCACCTGCCAACATCAATAAAAAGATTCAATTGTGAAACACATTTTTAACTATTGAAACTTGATTTACAGCAGCATATAGATTAATTGTACTAATGTACCTCCTTGGCAAAAGGGTTAGCAGGAGCACTGTATCGATTGCCCTGGCTGTTGATGGTGGGGTTAGCACTTCCACCAATAGCATACATCTCCCAGTGAGTGTAGTCATTGTTCACCACATGGAAATATCCATGTCTACACCTGCATTATTCATGATCAATATCTTGTTAGATTAATTCTTATAAGATCTCCCACTTGAAATACTTAATTGGATTAGAGGGGAAAAAGGCCTAATAAAGTTGTTGATTTCAGCTAACTAATACACCATCCCCCCCTTCCCCTCCCTCCGTCCACTTAATTCTTCTAATACATGTCCAAAATTTGTGATTTCCTTAAAGCAAAATTAATGCATCAAGAGGGTTGTTGCTACTCCGAACCAACTTGTCTTATGGAAACACATTTATTTCCATTTAAAGCAGACAAAGAGAAAAGGGAAACAAAAGGGTTTTCAATATAAAAATTACACTAAATATTACCGTGGCATTCTCTGGATAAGTCCCTCGCCAAAATGGTTGTATGCGATGGTCACTTGCATCTGCTTGTCTCTTGTGTAAGAGTCACTGTGGCCCAGCAGAATCACCTGAATTTGTAAACAAATAAATAACAACATGAACCAATGTAACAAGAAAAAAGGTGGAACTTGATACAGAGGAAATGCACTGAAAGAAAGTACACCTCATTGTGGTGGGTGAAGTGGTTGTTGGAAATTGTTATAGCTGTTGAGCCCATGATAGCATCCACAAGGCCATCAGCACAATGGGACAAAGAGTTATGATCCACCCAAATGTGACTTGAGCCAAATATGGAGACGCCATCTCCATCAGCCATTGTCCTCCATCCAAAGTGTGACGGGGAGCTCCTCACCATGGCATTTCCAGTGGGTATGCAGTCATGGATGTGAAGGCCATGAATGATGACATTGGTAATATACTGGATAGTGATGCATGCTCCATTAGCAATGTGGACATTAGCTCCTCTCCCATCAATGGTCTTGAAGCTGTTCATAATGAGCTCCTGCTTCAACTGTATAACCATGTCCCTTTGGAACACAATCCAGAGAGGTGTATCCTGAATCACAGCATAGCGCAATGTGCCAGGTTTGGGGTTAACAGGGTCATCATCTCTGGGGTCAGTGACCACATAGAACTTGCCATCACGACCACCAATGGCATTTCTACCAAAACCAATGCCACAATCTGCAAGACGCTTCCTGTTACGTTGCCAATTGGGGTCACAACGCCAGCAATCATCAATGGGGTTACCAGTTCCACAGGAGAAGAATCCCAGTTTCCTTCTTTCTGTGCTATTCTGGATCCTCCTGTCATATCAAACACATTGTTTTACTAATTAATGCCATCAGTATCAAACAACTAATCTTTATTCGGTACAAAGTCAATTTCTTAAAGTCCCATAATACAATGCCAAGATGTGTGACACATTGCAAACACTTGCTAGCAAAATGCTTGTGTTTCCTCTGTGGAGTGCAAATCTAGATAAAAAGCACTAGCTTTTGTGGAGGTAGCAAACAATACAACAACAAACAATTAAGCCTTATCTCATTAGAGGTAGAATTAACTCTATGAAAGATCACATTTTTTGATAAATCTTTTTTAGAGCTAGCAAACAAAGAAAAAAAAAAAATTATCCACTGGATGAATGAATGAATACATTTGGAATTTTCTTAAGTATAACGGCTAAATATTCTTGGCTTTTTCTGGAATAGAAGATACGGTAAATATGTTTTTTTGTCATTACATGGTCACGTTGTAAGGAATCAATCACATAGTAAATTTTCCATATACAAAACTCAATCGCAAAACATTTTTTAGAATTGCTAGAAGCAACTAATTTAATAATAAAATGTGGGAGTCAAAGAGTTGTACCCGTAAGTACAACAAATTTATAGGGAAACATTAATTTATAGGCAAAAAGGATTAGGTTAAAAAGACGACATGCAAAAGAATTATAAGCGTGAAAGACGGATCTGAGAAAGTGCATGTGACAAACTGAAGGCATGAAAAGGAGAGTGACCATGAATATAGGTGGTTAGGGACAAGGTAAAGGTTCAACTATAAAACCCAAAAGGGTAAAAAAGAAAAATGGGTACCAGTCATCATAAATTCAAATTCATTCAACTATAGCAAAACCAGGAAAGTAATGAGACAGAAAAAAAAAATGGGTCAGTTGGGCTAGAGAGTTAGGTCTCATTTTACGAGGGATAGTTATTATGAGGGCCAACACCATTGCCCTACACCCATTACAATTCTAGTCCCTAAACCACGTGAAATGTATAAATTAATCGTTGTAGATCATTATAGTTGCATGTAGTTTTCTCTTTGCTTTTAATTCGTTGCTTGGCTATGAAGGAACAATGGAACAAGGATTGTCTATGGTGAAAATGTGGAAAGATGGAGGAGACCCACATCTCTACCATTGAAGCCACCTCCTCTGGGTTAGCCACTGCAGCATGCTCATTTAATTTCATAGCTTCTTTTGCCCTGAAAGTAACAGTTTCAACACACAAGATCATAATCATTATGGATAAATAAATAAGATAAATATTTACTACTAAATCAATACTCATTATTTCATTACTTGTGCCACTTGACATTATTAAACTTTATATAATAAATCAATTCTTTTTATAACTTAAAACCAAATTTTCATTAATGCACTACTTTTAATATTATTCACAAAATAAAAAAAGAATTATTTCATTTTTTCTGAATATTGGAAGAAAAATTATACAACCATGATTGCACACCTCTTTCTGTATTACATTAAAAAATTAGTAAATAAAAACGGAAAATAACATTAATTACCCAAAAAAAAAGTTAAAAAGGAAAAAAAAGGAAAAAGGAAGAATTTAAATGAGGACACGTGTCGGTAAAATGGAGCGAGTTAGCTAAAAGTATATAAATACATAGAGACTGTAAAAAGTAAAAGAAAAACACAAAAACAATTATAGGCGTTTTCAAGAGAGAGAAAAAGTAGATTTATCCTCTGAAGTAAAATGACAAAGTACCACTGCCGTGCTAACGAATGCACGAGGGTAATTTTGGGAATGAAAAAAGTTTGTTGACGGTTAACCCCTTTATTGGTGTGGAGAGTTTTGGGATACTTTTTCTTAACACACGACAAAACAAAGAGGCAGGGGAATCCGAAGAAGAACGAACATAACCGAATAAATGATCCAGATCAACAGCAACAGCGATTTTTCAACGGCTGTGATCGTTAGTTACGGTTACTTGATCTAACGGGCAGAGAATAAAAGTTGGAATGGACGGTTGAGATTAACTGATGTTTTAAGGAAGGTGAAGAATTTAACGTTGAATGGGAGGGACACTGACCTCGCCGCCATTGATGAGTTGTTCAAGCTCTTCAACTTGTTTGCTTCAACTTCAACATTCCTATAACAACAGAAAAAACCAAATACCAAAAAAAAGAAAGAGAGAAAATGGGTCAGAGAAAGATCTTTGTGGCTCAAATGGGTTTTCAATTTTGAAATTTTCCCACTATGTTGCTTTCAAAAACAAAACAAAATCACAATGTGGTTCAAATCCAGAGACTGGGAATTTATGCTTTAGAGATTAAGTGGTCCATAGGAATAAGAATATGAATGTGAATATCAAATGGGTCAATGCAAGATCTTCGTTTCCTTTTGAACATGAAATGGCTGTTTCTATGACTCACTTTAAACAATACATATCAAATTTTCATGAAATGGAAAATGGGTGTTGAATTTGGAATCCGAAATTGAAATGCTAGAGAACAAAAATTTCCCACTATTTTTTTTTTGGGCTTGAAAAACCACACGATGTAGCTCAAAGCAACAAACCCAACTCATAAAACATAGAAATTCTGCATCACACACCAAAACAGAGAGAGAAGCAGAAACACACACATATATATATACACCTGAGCTGAGGGATCTTTGGATTGGCCGTGGCTTCTCCAATGAGAAGCACCAGAAGCAAAAAGAAGCAAGCATTGAGGACCCATTTTGCAGAAGAAGAAGAAGAAACCGCCATTGCTGAAACTTGAATTACTCTCTCACTCAGTGTTGATTTGACGAGGATATGGAAGAGAGAGAGAGAGAGAGAGAGAGAGAGAGAGAGAAGAAAAGGGGGTCGGTAGAGAGAGAAAGAGGGGTGAATGGTGGAGTGGACTCAAGAGAACAGGTTCCAACATAACGGCCCTCTTATAGACAAAACCCATAATGCCAACCCTTCACGCCGTTAATTAACTGATCGTTTTTCTTGTTTGGATCTTAGCCCTACTTCTCACGCCGTTAACTAACATAGTCGTTGCTTTTATCTCTTGCTTTTCCACTTCCTTCTTCTTTTTCTTTACCTATTTCTTTAACCACTATCTCTGTCTTCCATCTTCATAAACCCTAACTAACTTTTTTACCCGCTTACCGCTCACTCTCTCGCACGTGGGTGCAGTGACAGTCACGTGCCGTAGCGATCTAAGACCACAAAATACATACACCACTTTCTCTTTTTTACTCTCTCTTTTTTCTTCACTTTATCCGCTCGTCATTGCCCAACTAACTAAAACGGTTTTTAATTTCTTTTTGGGTACAAAATTATTGTGATTTAACGTGTCCTATAATGTTCTTTGTCTTGTCTCCTATTTTAATAATAGGAAAAAGTGTTTGTCATTTTAAATGACCTAACATTATGTCATTTTAAGAAAGATATAGACACAAAATATAACTTTTTATTTAAAATTTAAATTATAAAAAAAAAACACTCACTCTCTCTCATGATTTTCATTCCTTGTGTCTATCTCTTTCATAAAATGACATAACTTATATCATTTAAAATGACAAACATCAAACCCTTAATAATATGTTATTTTCTCATTAAAACTATTTTACTTCGTGTGATGAGACCATTTGGCGTAATGTATTAAGTCTGATAGTATAAGCTTATACTATATGTTATGATATTTTTAGTTGTTTGGTATGACCATCGTACAGTAAAGCTTATACAGCAGAGTCCCTTAATACATCAAAATAATGTATAACTTAATCAGGCCTAAAGGGTGAGATAAGCTTGATAAGGGGTTGATGTATTAATATTGTTGATCAGTGCAATTCTAAAGAATTAATATATTAAAATAAAAAATAATTTTTCAATATATTAATTTTTAAAATATTAAAGATTTTTATTTTTATAAAAATTAATATATTTTTTTGATACACTAATCAATAGATATTTTATAAAAATATAATATGACATATTTTGAAGAATTATATAAATTCTTTATTAAAGGATTTTGTCAACAATATTTTTTTTGTCCTATCTAGTCTTGTACAATGCATTACCAAATACTGAAAAATATTATCTTATACAATACATTAGCTTATACAATATCATGTCAAACGCTAGATAGTATTAAAATTTAATCAGGTCTTATATAATCAAGCCTTATATTATTAGGTCTTATACTATCAGGATCATACACCAAACATGTCCTTACAAGTTACATATACAAAAATGTTGGGCCCATTCCTCCTTCAATACTCAAGGTCCATTGAGGGGTTTGAAAAACCCTAAACCCTAAATATTCTTCCTCTCCTATATAAGCATTAGTTGTGGGATGAAGGCATGGTTGGCTTTAGAGACATTTTTTAAGGTTTTGTGAGAAAAGCTTAAATCTTTAATTTTGAGAGTACCTCTAGAGAGAAGCTTGAGTGTTAGACCTCTTTAGTAAAGTTTGAGTAAATACCACCTTTGTTGGTGAGGTTTGATTGTACCACCATTATTGGCGAAGCTTGATTCTTGTAACCTATTATTTTCATAGTAGAAGTTTGATTCTGGACTAGTATCCAGTGAGTTTTTTACTTTTTCACATTGGAGAAGATTTTTTCACATAAAAATTTGTTGTGTTCGATTTCTCTCTCTCTCTCTCTCCTTCTCAATTTTCTGTTTCTGTTGTGCATAGGCCAACCTAGTGAGTTCAAGCCAACCTCTCTGATAGCCGAGTTTTGAGCTTGATGTTTGGCTTCTGTAAAGACTTCTTAGCCGAGTTTGAGGGAACTGAGTTCCCAACAGTGGTATCAGAGCCCAAGTTCGACGGGTTCTGAAGGAAACGAAATGAAGACCAGTTGAATCTCACATGACGGAGATATGTTCATGCTGACCGCGATCAACTTCACTTACTGGAGACCTATGATGGAAGACCATCTTTACTGCAAAGACTTATATGAGCCCATCATCCTTAAAAAGAGGCCTGATGTAAAGCCCGGCCACTCCAAGCATTAATGACTATCCCCACACACTAACATGAGACTTTTCAGCGTGCTTTGTCTTCAATCTCACACTTCTTGGGAAAACTTCACAGGAAGTCACCCATCCTAGAATTACTGTAAGTCAAGCACGCTTAACTATAGAGTTCTTCCATTCTAGACTATCGCAAAGTATATGCATCTTGCTAGTGTAGGTAGTACCAATTAATTCTTATAAGCTATCCTCAACTGTACCATCCCATACCAGCACAGTCTCTGAATTCCTCTCTTTCGGGTATTGATTCGATTCATTCATGTACTCCCGCCGCTGGAAGCCTGCTAAGAGCCGCTCCTTGTCTGTGCCCTTGCGCACCATGCCCTTACGTACTGGCGATCACTCCCTCGCCTTCATCAGCACCCGAGATGTTACACCTGAAGGCAAAACTTAGAAGGAATGAGAGATTCTAAGTCAGAGGCCGTAGCCATAATCAGGAAATATATTGACAAAAGCCTCTTTGAGCATGTGTCCAAGTTCACGAACACGTACGAGTTGTGGATGAAGCTAGAGCCCATGATTCAAAAGAAGACTCTCTGGAACAATGCAACTTGGTTCGCTGGCTTGTGAAGCTCAAATACAAGGATGACATGAGTATGATTGAGCACCTCAACACCTATTGTTAATTAGTTGTCTAAAGCTGAGATGAAGATCTATTGGAGGAGCTCAGTATTTGATTTCTTTTGTTGATGACCATTCCCGCAAAGTGTGGATTTATCTGTAAAAATCTAAAGACAAGGTACTCTAAGCATTCAAAGGGCTATTGTGGAAAGAGAGACTGGAAAGAAGCTGAAAGTGGTCTGATCTGACAATAAAGGTGAGTATTGCGACCCTTTTGACTCATACTATAGAGCAGCCGAAATTCAACTTGAGAAAACACCCCAAAGACTCCGCAGCTGAAGGGACTTGCTGTGAGAATGAATCAGACTATTGAAGAGAAGGTCTGAAGTATGCTATCCAATGATGGATTGCCGAAATCATTCCGGGGAGAAGCCATCAAAACTGCTGTTGACTTGATAAACCTCTCACCATCACGACACTTGAAGGAGAAATTCCTGAAGACGTTTGGACAGGTCGAAAAGCAGCCTATGATCATTTGAAAGTATTTGGATGCCAAGCTTTCATGCATATTCCTAAAGACGAAAAGGAGAAACTTGACGCAAAGACAAAAGAATGAATTTATCTCTGTTCGCCGAGATGTGAGTTCTAGTTCTGACTTTGGGATCTAATCAACAGGAAAATAATGAGAAATTGAGATATAGTCTTTCACAAGAACGAGACTATTCATGACATCTCTAAGCCCCAAATCCAGGTTACTGTTGTTGTGAAGAACTCATCCCTCTTGTTCGAGCTGAAGAAGGGGGAGAAAATCAAGAGAATAAAGAAAATGATGAGATTGACCAAGGTACTAAAGACTGAGGTCCTGAGGACCGAGATGCTGAGGACCCAGATGAGGAGATCTGATAGGAGCATGATGAGCCAAATTTTTAACCTGATGAATAGCCCAGACATTCTACTCGAGTGAGACGACCTTCAACTAGGTACCCGCCTGATAAATACACTGTTGTTGCTAAAGACGGTGAACCTCAGAGTTATGATGAAGACGAGCTCAGAGAAGGAAGAATGAGAAAAGGAAATGCAAGACGAGATGAAGTCTTTATACGAGAATCAGACTTATGATCCGACCAAGTTGCTTGAAGGAAGACGAGCTCTGAAGAACAAGTGAGTTTACAAAATAAAACACGAAGAGAATGGCCAAAAGTCAATATACAAGGCCTTGATTATGATGATAGGTTGTAATCAAAAGAAGTGAGTTGACTTTGAAGAAATATTCTCTCCCGTGGTGAAAATGACTTCGGTCCGAACCATGTTAGCCATGGAGGCTTCAATGGACCTCGAAGTGGAGCAAATGGATGTGAAGATGGTATTTCTTCACCGCGACCTTGAAGACAAGATTTGTATGGAGCAACCTGAAGGGTTCCGAGCTCTAGAACAAGAAGACTTGGTGTGCTAGTGGAAAAAGAGTCTATGCGGCTTGAAGCAAACACCTCAATAGTGGTATAAGAAGTTTAAATCTTTCATGATTGATCACAAGTTTGTGAAGACAGAGGTCGACCACTACATATTTGTGAAGAGGTATGAGGCCAGAGATTTTCTGATTTTATTTTTATATGTTGATGACATGTTGATTGTAGGGAAAGACAAAATAAGTATAGCCACCCTAAAAAGGCATTAAGCTTGTCCTTCGTGATGAAGGACCTCGGCCCTACAAAGCAAATACTCGAAATCAAGATAATTTGAGACTAACCTAAAAGGCTATTGTGGCTGAGTCAAGAAGAATACATTGAGAAGATTCTAAACAGATTTAGTATGGACAAAGCTAAGAGAGTGAGCACCCCTTTAGCCGGACACATTAAGTTGAATCAGAAGTAGTGTCCTAGATTTGATGAAGAAAAATATGAGAAGTTGAAGATCTCATACCAGTCCGTCGTTGGAAGTTTGATGTATGCAATGGTATATATTAGACCCAACTTGGTATATGTTGTTGGAATGGTAAGCCGATATCTGTCCAACCCAGGGAAAGAGCACTGGAAGTTGTCAAGTGGATTTTCAAGTATCTTAGAATAACAACAAAGTTGTGCCTTTGATTTGAAGAAGGTAAAGCCGAGTTGCAAGGATATATAGATGCTGGTTTAGAGGGAGATTCTGACTTGAGGAAGTCGACAACGAGATATTTG